TGCAAGTCAATTTTCCTTTATAAAGAAAAAAATATAATTATATCATATTGGTATTTTATGCTTTTTTTTTTTTTATTTAATACTCTTAGGTATTATCAACTTTCATTCAGAGTTAAAATATTAAAACAATAATTATTGATTTATAGCATTTGTTTGTTCTTGTCAGTTTGGATTTTTTTTAATGGTTAATTCCTATCAATTTATTTTTGCATCATATGTCAGTAATCTACGAGTAAATTTCTTTATTAATAGTTTAATTTTCAACATGCATCATAAGATTTGTTTATTCATCATATTTATGTGATATTCTGTACTCATCATGTATCAACTTTTATTTTATTTAGCCTCGAGATTCGTATTTGACTTTGAAATTTATCGATAAATATTCACTGATGAAAAATCTCGAGGAAACTAACTCTTCAAAGTGAATGAATTCATTTTCGAATTAGTTTATTGAATTTTTTCTCTACATATTAAATAACTGTTTCCGTTTCGCAGTATTTCAATATCTATGAAAACAAATCATTAGATCGATGAGCTTTTTCTCTGTCTAATATCGTCTCTTTGTCAATACACTAAATCATTTTTAGATCGAAATAGAAACAATCAATAATCTTTCTGACAAATAAACTTTTCCCCTATTAATGTCCATTTCAAAAAAAAGGCGGACGGGTATTTTGTGAATAAATTTGCACCACAACCATCTATCGAGTTCGAATTTCTTCCATTTGGAAAGAGGCTTTCCCAGCACATCGATTCACATAAAATTATTGAAGGTCACTTTATGAACTAGTTAGTGATCTTATGTCATCTTGGAAGACTAGACTGTTGCTCTATGAAGATGGAACGAATTTTAAATTTTGAGAAGTGAACTAGAACTACAACCTCACACCCAACAAATCTACAAAAGATCCAAGTTTTTGTCAATTTCATTTGGCGCGTAACATATTTCAAATTATTATCACCGATGTTTTCGATCATGGCAAATCGATTGACAATGGTTATTTTTCTAAACAACGGGTCTTTTTCTATCAAAACATTACTGCTAATAATTGTGCGATATTGTTTTTATATGTAATTTCATTTTCAACTTGGAATGCATCTACCATATCTCATAGATGCCTATGATTACAAACAACACGTATAAAACCATACTTCGATTGGACGATCTTTTTCGTTCTGATTTACGTTTTTTTTTCTTCTGATCGTATTCACAATGTAATTTCATTGCTGCTACTGAGGTCTACTATAAAAATGGCTACAAGCCATCAATTCTCTCAAAAAATGAAAAAGATATTTTTCAATGTTATCAAGTTTGTGGAAAAAGAGAAGCATGGACCTATAATTCTACTCTTCATTGTAAATGAACGACTCTTAACCATGTTTGATATTCCTGTAAGATTTGTCGACAGATTGAAGAACAAGCTGAAAGAGATATCGAACATCAGATGATGCAAACAAAGAGAAAATGGATGAGAAGAAACAGAAAATTGAAAATCAAAAACTTCACATGATTAGTCGACTGCGAAACCTACGATGAAGATCATCGTTCTTACCGACCACCAACAATAACACCATGGTAGCCAGTCTTCTTGTTCCTAATTCACCGTGCAAATTATCAAATTTTGCTCGTCCATCAATTGTTCTGACTGAACAACAACGAAAGAATATTCTGTGGGTTTGATTTATCCGAAGATTAATATCAGCATCAGTATTTTTTCTAGTTTTTATGCTCATTGCCATTTGACAGAACAAACTACCTTCTACCATCGAGAAAATTCTCATACGTATTCTAGCCGAGAATGGTAATTTTCCTATCCAATCGAATATGTTGTTATGGCGTTGGATGAGAAAAATTCGATTTGTATATCAACGAACATCAAAAGCCGGCGTATCTCTCGATGCTCCCGTATGCGTGGTTGCGCGTGTGCATTGCTTTGCCACAATTGATGGACTTTACAACAACGGCTGTAACATATTTTGGCATGATGAGATATATTGTAACAAAAATGAGGGAAGCTATTTTGTTTAAACCGTTGGAATAATAGGTTTAGGTCAAATTCGACGTAGTCAGGGCAAAGACATCCATCATTTCTTTTGTAATCCAAATGATTAATGATTATCATTATAGGCAAAAGACTGACAATTTCTGCTCTTCTGAACGAATCAGGATTCTACAAGAAAATAATTGACATTTTCGAATGTGATGAGGATTGTTCTATGGATTCGAGACATTTTCTAATCTATATTGATTGAACAGCTTTTCTTTTGAGAGAAGAGTTCGATTATATGATTTTTAACCTTTTACCATAGGCTTCATCGTTGACATGTATCGACAAGCATCCCAAGATTGTCTTGGTTGTTGATAATGTAACATAGGAGAATTAGTTTGCTGAAGATATAATTCCTTCCAGAAGAGCATGAAGGAAAGAACTTATCGTTCAATGGCTATTGAATCACAGTATCGTAGTCTTCGGTACAGACGCTAAAGCTGAGTTACTCAACTTCACTCTGGGGAATTTACCAACAAAACAACGTGATCGATGAGATAGCCAAAAAATACGATGTCGATATTTTACGGTTAGTCAATACTCTTTCAAAGCACTTTTGACCGTAATACATGTGTTTTCATAGTTTACCGGTGAAGCATTGTATGCTCAATTCAATAGAATTAGGATAGGCTGGCTAAAAAGAATTATGTACATGATAAAAACGTTAACTTTACTCTCAGCAACCTTCGAAATTTGGCCTCACAATGGATGACGTCTTTGAGTATAGTTACAGCTATTGCCTATTTCAATCAGACGCGCAAGATCGAAGGCATTTTCAAGAATTCCAATGAATTCACTGAAATAATCGAGGAACAGTTGGGAGACGAAGAAGAAGTCGATTCCGAGGCAGAACGAGTGGATGATTAACAACATGCGTTGTTGTTCTTTTTCCTTTTCGTATTTGTTATTAAATACGGAATCTAAAATTCTGTGCTTGCAGTTTTAAGCGCCTATGATATATGGTAGATGCATTCCAAGTTGAAAATGAAATTACATATCAAAGTAATATCACACAATTATTAGCAGTAATATTTCAATAGGAAAAGATCTGTTGTTTAGAAAAATAATCATTGTCAATCGATTTGCCATGATCGAAAACATCAGTGATAAAAATTTAGAAAACGTTATGCACAAGGTGAAATTGATAAAAATTTCGATCTTTTGTAGATTTGTTGATTGTCAGATTGTGGTTCTAGGCCACTCCTCAAAATTTAAGATTCATTTTATCTTCATAGAGCAACACCCTAGTCTTCCAAGGTGACCACAGATCACTACTAGTTCATAAAACGAACTTCAACAATTTTATGTGGATCGATATGTTGAGAAAGTCTCTTTCAAATGGAACAAATCCAAACTCAATAGATAGTTGTGGTGCAAAGTTATTCAAAAAACACTCATCCACATTTAAAAGGCGCAGTGTATATTTTTTGAATAACATCTGATAGATAAAGAGGTGTAGTTTTCATCATTCGAAAGAGAAGATGAAGACATATAGAATTATGTATTATACGTTTTCCTAGTATGTTACCTAAAGCTTGCCTAATCAATTTTCTATGTATGGGAAAAAATGGTTTTTTATTAAAAAGAAACCAGAAAAAAAACTTTTTTCACAGAAATGATTAGAAAAATCATTTAGAGCTTTAACTACAAAATCTATGGTTCCTGAATAATTAACTCTAAACATCTGAAACTCGTGCAGTTTTCTAGATCTTCCATTGGTGATTGAAATATGCACAAGACAATTGAAAATTTATTGCAAACGCCTCATAAGTTAGATTTGTTTTCAAAGATGTCGATTGAAAACCTTAAAAAACGGTATAATATATGATTCGATGCGTCTTCATTTCCTCTTTCGAACGATGTAAACCGCCGCTCTCTATCTCGTTTCAATCAGAAATTATTCAAAAAATATCTACTCCACCGTTTTTTAAACAGACATTAGGACCATCATCGCATATGACAGAAAAACAGATCTTATCGAACTTTTATTATTATGATATAACTTGAAGAATAATTTAATAGTGTAGAAAAATCAAGCGTTGTTTTTACTATCAGTCCATGCAGAGAAAAAATTTCTTTAAGCTTCTCATAAAGAACTAAAACACTTTTGCCACTAGTTTTGGATAGCTCTAAGTATTATTTTTTGTGTTTTTATGAATCCTATCATTATCTAATCTTTCTAATATGTATTTGTGTATATATCACGTATGATTAGAAATGTGTGAGACCAATTTTTAGAAGTTGAAATCATCCCATATCTCAATTTATTATTAACTTTTACTAAATATCTGCTTGCTGATTTTTGGTAAAAATAATCTATGACAAATAACCAAACGGGAACAAACTGATTTCTCAAATTAGTAGTGATTTCTATCATTGGAAAACAGTTTTTATCTGTTCATTGTGAATCAATATGAGTCATTGAGAATGATTAGAAATGAATGAGAAATCAGAACCCTAATTTTCAATCTTATTGCAGGAGATTTTCTATGATTTCATTTTCCACTATTTAATCGGAAAAAAAGATTTCAACTTGTTTAAATCAGCTTTTTTTTTCTTTAGGTGAAAAATTTGTCATTCATAGGAATTAATCGATATTGATCATTGACTTAACAGGACTTAAATGCACTTATATATTTATTTATTCGTTAATCATCATGACTCTTTTACGTTGTTTTATTGGTTAAGAACATAAACGAACAAAACTTTGATTTTAAAAAAAAACTAATTTTATCTAAAAATAATTTCAATGAAATTGGTTTTGATCTTGTTTTTGATAATTTGAAATAAATAAAAAAAAAACTTTGTATAAATAATTCTACGTTGAATGTGGCGTTCGTATGATATTGTTTATTGTTGTTAACGAAAATCTATGGAATTAGCATCTGTTGTTCTGTCTGTGAGATTTATTTATTGACAATAAGATTTTATTCATTTTAAATTAAAATAATGCCAAGAAAAGAATCAGCAGCATTGGGAAAAAATATTTTAGGTTTAACTTTAGAAGTACCAAAAGAATCCGTTGAACATAATCATAGTGAAAATGGGTATCAGAAATATTTAAACTTAACAAAAAAAGAAATTATTTATTTAAATTTTAGTATTCCGGATGTTTGTATTGAACGTTTACAAGAAGAATTTAAACAACTTGATTGTACTGACAAACAAAAAGATCGAATGGAAGAATTTTTTAATTCAAAACGTGCTATTGGAGAATTAAAACATGATGATCTTGTTAATATATGTGAATTAGGTCAAGGTAATGGAGGAATTGTTTGGAAAGTTCGTCATAAACCAACAGATAAAATAATGGCGAGAAAGGTTTGTTCAATAATCAATAATTCATTTTTTTTCATAGAAGATTCATTTTAATTAGCAAAGATAATAAATCAATAAAAGTTTATTAGATCAACAATATCAGATACATTTACAGTCGAAATATTAAATCGTTTCATTTATGTTAAAATATTCTTCAATTCATTTATCACGATATTAATCGAACTCGAACTAATGGAGAAATATCTTTTATCTAACTACAATTCTAAGTGTATTTTTTTTTCTATTGATTTAGAAGTAATATTTTAAAAGTAAAAAAGTTGTACTGCTTAAGAAAGCGTTCATCAGGGGACTGAATTTACGAGGCACTCGAGAAAAATGTTTTTTTTTGCTCATTCAATGCATCAATGTCTAAAATCATCAACCCCAAAATTTAAAAAATTCTCTATAAGAGTTGTTTCAACAGATTCATTGAGATATTTCATGATATATATCAAAAGATAGAGAATTAAAAGCTGAACAAAATGAACTACATGAATGTAATATAATGTTTAGCAACTCATCTTTTATAAAGTCAACATCACTTTTTGTTCAGTTGTAAAAAAGCAATGTATCTTATGCTGTGTTTCAAGATTAGGAAACTTCAACCTCAATTTCACATATGTTATGCACCTTTATTTTCTCTACAAAATGGTAAAAAATTTTCGTTCGATGCGAAACTGGACTTACACCTTCTAATTTTTGACGGTTTTTCAATAGAAAATGAACATTTATCATAGTTTTCATTGCTAATACAAAATGCCAAAGAAAAATAAATACGATATTCGAAATCATCGTCAAAAACTGTATCTGATCATATATGTTTTAGTAAAAATTTTTTCCCACTCAAAATTGACTTGTGGTCTCCTACAGCTATATTTAATAGAAATTTTTCTCCTTGTTCCTCCACAGGTCAATTTTGGATGGGAAAAAATTTTTACTAAAACATATATGATTAGATGCAGCTTTTCACGCTGATTCCGAATATCGTATTTATTTTGCTTTATCATTATGTCATGGCAATGAAAATCGATAAAAAGTTCGGAGGTATAAGCCCTTTTTTATATCAATCCCGAATGTTTTTACCAATTTTGTAGAGAATAAAAAGTTGTACAACATATATAAAATTCAGTTTGGATTCTTCTGATCCTGCAACGCAGTAGGAGGTAGACTCTTTTATTTCAATTGATCAAAATAATTCCTTTAACTCATGTTCGCTTCATAAACACTTAACCCTTTACTTCTCATAACTGTTCAAGTAGAACCACTGATAAGCTAACTATAGAAACCGAGTATTGACACCTCTAATATGCCAAAGGTATGAACAAATCAATTGAATATCCGAGTGTTCTTGTAGTAGGATGCTCGATTTATTTCTAAGACCGTTGCATAAAGAAGAATGATTGAATGGTTTGAACAGATCTTATCTTTTTTTCTCTTATGACAGGAACTTTTAAAGAGGACCAGCAGCTATTACATGACATAAAAATGATAAGAAAAAAAGACAGTTAAATCAATGAAAATCAATTATGAAATATCAGATATTTTTTGACACATTTTTAAAGTTAACATTTGTCTTCCCGTGAGCCTAATGTTAAATAGTATTTCAGTTTCTCCTATGACAAGGTTCACACAACAGCTATACACGTTAATCTTTATTGTTCTGTCTGTCTCACTTATCTTATTCTCTGTAGTTCGTCAAACTCTCGGAAAACTTTCGAAAGATATCTAATTGACTAGTACACCGTTTAACCAATCTGTATCTTACAACAACTCCTGGAAATCTCTGCTATCTGTAGACAGAGAATCTTTTATTCTAAACAGTTCAGATTTTTCCTATTTTTTTAAAAATTATAGATTTTGTCAGCCCTATATTTCATAGACATAGTGAAGAACTGAAAGACGCTGTTCAGCAATTGATAGCCTATGAAGTTTGCTACAAATTTGTTTATTTCAATTTTTGGAATTCTACGTATCGTTTTGTTTTGGGAATCAATTTTCAAATGGCTAATCCATTGGCCTTTAAGAAGTAAAGGGTTAAGTTGTTACACAATATAACTTATTTTGTTCAGCTTTTAATCCTCTATCTTTCTATGTATACTAAGACAAATTTCAATGATCTACTGAAACACAAGCTAGTATTCTTTTCTTGGTTTTTTTTATCAAAAAGGTGTGATAGTGGTAAAAGTCGGTATTGACTAACTTTTCATAGTAAGCGTATTAGAACCTAGAATTTTAGGGTTGGTGATTTTAGACATTGATGTGTTGAATAAGCAAAAAAAAATTTCGTCGAGTGGTTCGAATATTCGATGCATTGATGAACGCTCTCTTAAGGAAATCCTCGTCCCTGCGTTTTGGATCACTTATGTTTCTCAGTAAGAATATAACCAATCGAGCTCAAAATTTAACCATAGTTAGATTATCGAAAATGATGGGATTCATGTTCAAGGAAAAAACTTTTAAAGTCAGATCTTCAAAAGTTTTTGAAGGGATCTTTAAAAATCATCGGGTCTACTTATGACGTCAGTCTTAATTTGTGCAATTGGGCTGAAATTTTTCCCCACATCATGACGATGGTATTAACTTTTCTAGTAGAACATAGTACTGCCTAGAGATTGAACGCAAGTCAGTCAAACGATTTAAAATAAAAATTCGTGGATTTATTTTCTTGGTATATTAAATCATATGAATGCTTTTTTTCTCATTATTTTATTTGTGTCAGTGTTCGATATCAGACCGAATGAAACGTTGTGGAAAATAGTAAAACTTTTCTTTTTTATTTTTCGATAAAAAGAACTCTAAATTATAATATAGAAATTTTTGTTTGAACGTTTTATTCGAATTGAGATCGATACTGATAGATATTTATGTTTGCTTTTTGCTTGTATTGCTCGAATGCTTATTTAGTATTGTTCATTTATCAATACTGATTATAATTGGTGCAATTGGTGTCATTGGTTTTGGAATTCTCTTTCACCGGGAAAGGTAGATTTATTGCATGGCTAAACAACAACAAAAAAAAATATCTCAAATCATTCTTAGAAAAATTTTTTTTTTATTGTGATTTGATTTATAATTTAAATTAAATATTTTGTTTTTTTTTTTGTTTTTTGTTCTTAGAGCATTTATTTGGAAGTTAAACCAGCAGTCAAAAATCAAATTGTTCGAGAACTTAAAGTAAAAATTATTGTTTTTCATTTGATTATAAAATTGATATTTTATTTCTAAATAGGTACTTCATCAATGCAATTCACCATATATTGTTGGATTTTATGGAACATTTGCAGCTGAAGGTCAAATTAATATTTGTATGGAATATATGGTAAATATATACAATTATCTTTAATTAAATTATCTATCAAATAGAGAATATTTTCAATAGAAAACCTATCAATTATTCTATTACTTGAGATCATAGGAGTATTTATAATTTACACTATGATCCACTCTAAAAGTCGTTTCACTAGCCACTTATACAAATCGATAGATCTTCAAATTGGGATTTTATTGAATTTCACTCTGAGCCCATTTAGAAACGATAATCATGGATAAAATAAGTAAATACATTTTTCTTGTTCATTCTGAATAAATCTGAACCATTCTGAGTCTATGCAAATTGAGAAAATTTCTGTCTCTAAGAGCCATTTCAGCTAAGTGACAACCCACCTTCAGCTTGAGGTTGTACAATCGACCTCACCGATTTGGCTATCTAGGTACGGTGTGTGTTATACCGACAGTAGATCAATATTCCATGGACTGAAAAACTAGGGTCTAGAAACCGTAATTCACCTGTGTCTGTCTGTAACAAGTGCTTGGCACAAATGATCATAAAAATACAACTGTCTGCTTGTCATCATTCTGTCAGTCTAGGATCCAGTGAATTGACCTTCGATGTCGATGAATGTTATTTGTTTCGGTGGTCGACCGCATTCTGAGTAGAGATCTGTAAAATCATGTTTTTTTCGGTTCCGGTACCAGTAAAAATCGAAATTTTGGTCCTGGGACCGTGATTACTTTGTATTTTGTTTAAAGAGGGATGATAAATAATATTTGTTAATGAAATAAATTTTGTGTTTTATTTTTTAGGATGGTGGTTCATTAGATTTAATTTTGAAGAAAGTAATGCGTATTCCAGAACATATTCTTGGTAAAATAACGGTTGCTGTAAGTTATTAAATAAAAATAATATAAAATAAAAGTTTGTGTGTTTTTTTTATTAAGGTTCTTCGTGGTTTAAGTTATTTAAGAGAACGACATCGTATTATGCATCGAGGTCTACTTTTTTCTCTTTTTTTTAAAAATTTTTGTTTGAATTCTTAATTAATTTAGATATAAAACCATCAAATATTCTTGTTAATCATCAAGGTAAATTATTTAATAGATTTTTTATTTTAAAAAATCTATTTAATTAAAATAGGTGAAATAAAATTATGTGATTTTGGTGTTAGTGCACAATTAATTGATTCAACATTACAAACATTTATTGGTACTCGTTCTTATATGTCTGTAAGTTAATAGATTATTTTGTTTAATTGTTCTTTAAATAAATAAATATTTTTATTAAAAAGCCTGAAAGACTTGAAGGTGCAAATTATGGAATAATGAGTGATATATGGTCATTAGGTCTTTCACTTGTTGAAATGGCTCTTGGTCGATATCCAATTCCACCACCATCAACAAAAGATATTGATGATTTATTTAAGCAAGATCCAAATGGAAATCAACCTCGACCAGAAGGTTTTAATTTAAAAGAAAATTTTTTTTTTTTGTTTTATTAGAATGTTTTGTTGTTTTTTTTTTGAATAAAAATTTAGGATTTGGATGTTATAAAGTATTAGCAATATTTGAATTAATGGAATGGATTGTTAATGAAGCACCACCATCATTATCACAAACACATTTTTCTCCTGAATTTTGTGATTTTATTGATCGTTGGTAAATTAAGTTTTGTTTTTTTTTGTTCATATTCATTTTCTTTATTTATTTATATTTTATATAAATTTTTAGTTTGAAAAAAAGTACAACAGAACGAGCTGATTTAAACACACTTTTAGTATGAAAAAGAAAAAAATTCTTTATTTTTTATATAAAAAAAAGGTTTAATATTTAGCATCATCCATTTTATAAACGATATGAAAGCGAAAGTGATAATCAAGATGTTGCTTCATGGATACGACAAATATGTAAAATAGATCAATATCAAATAAATGAGAATAATTATCGACGTTGTGCAACTTAATATCAATTTAAAAGAAACATCGAGTCAGATGTATAATGATCTTTATCGACACTAATTTTATTATAATACTAATGAAAAAAACATTTATCTATTAACATAAATGTTGTTTGTCTGTCATATTTTTCTTATTAATTGTACAGTTCATATATATTTTTTTCCGTTGCATTAGTTAAAATCGTAAGTGTCTATGTATGTTTTTATGCAAACAGTGATTTATGCGCTTTTTATTCAAGTTAAGATTGTGTTTTTTCTTTTGTGCAATGATTATCATTTTATTTTACAAGAGATTATTAACTTCTTCTTTTTTTTTTTCTTAAAAATTGAGAAAAGAGAAACAAACACTATTTATGATACTCATTCCGTTACCGCTGATCTCTTTTTTTAATACTCTTCATTCTTGTCATTATATTTTAAAAAACAAAGAGTTTCATTAAGAAAAAAAAAACGTTGAATTTCTTTTTCAGAAATAAATTCTTTATTATTTCATTAAAGATAATTTAATTATGTCAAATAAAAATGATGATAAACAACAAGAAGATAAACGACCATTGGGGGCTGTACTTGGTTGGATTAATCTTTCACCAACATTACCCGATAATCAAGATACTGTCGAAGGAGCTACAGCAGGTTTTTTTTTTAAATTTAATTTATATTTATTTATTCTTTCTTATTTTCTATATTTAGCTTCTCCTCCAAGATTTATTGATTATAATCAATTAATGGAAGCTAATAGAAATGCACAAAATCTTCAACTTGCACATGAAATTGTTTTTAATAAAGATTTTCAACTTCGATTACCAGAATATGAAAAAGGAAGGTTAGAATTATTCATTACAATTTTATGCCAGAATCATAGTTAACTCACTCTTATATCACAACAATATCTACAAACTACCGAAAATCTGTGCATACTCTACGCCAGTTTTCTCCTTTAACTTATCACCTCAGACGTTTAACTTTTCATCTGATAACAGACATACAGATACTCGATATTACCTATATAGATAGATACCCCTATGGCCTCATACTATTATATCACACATATTTTTATAGTGCATATACCCTTCGCCTTTACATCCCTTGTAGTCTTATCTCCTTAATGCCTTACTCCCTTCAGGGCCTATGAGTACCTCCATATAACAGCCGATGACGACCTATGGATACCTTCATAGGATAGCCTTTAGGACCTACGGGTACCTTCATATAATAGTCCTTAAGGATCTATGGGTGCCTCTATAGGATAGCCCATGAGGACCTATGAGTCCTCAATATAGTAGTCCTTAGCGCCTGCCCTTTATAGCCTTATTTGACCTTCGATCTCTGACCTTTGACTCGGCACAGAGAAACACATGTACACACTGAACATTATATATATAGATGTTAGAGTTTAATTTATTAGAAATAGAAAGATTTTAATAATATATTTTTGTATCGATTAATTCTGCGTATATCAAAGGTTGTTTCTTCAATAGGAAATATCGTTTAGATGAATGAAATTTTTTTCGTTAGAATACGAAACTAAGATATTCGAAGACTCGTTCGGTTTTCATTTGAGCGAATTTCATTCCAATTAAAATCATCTATCGATTTGACGTTTGTTCTTTTCAAATACTGACAGATAGTCGATCAATATTTAGTGAATCCAGATCGAAATTGAAACTGAGCCGATTGAATTTTTAAAATCGACCGGCTTTGTTTTTTCAACTGTTAGAGCACTAAAATTAGTCTACATTGCTTGGTTTTATTATTTTCCATGGTTTTTAACATCCAGAAATATGAACTTCCACGCCTCTAATTAACTAATTTCTAATTCTCATAAAAATTCCAGCTGTACAGTATTGAGGTTACGCTTTCTCATTGTACAATGAGGAGCTGGGATTATACAGAATGAATCGATAATGGTGTCACAAAGTAATTCAATCAACAGAAGTTAAATTCAGTCCAAATTTCGAACTGACTTTTTTCAACTATTTTTTATTGATTATTAGATACTCTTAATGATTATTCATTTTCAGTTTATTTTTTCGATAGAAAAAAAGATTTCGATCAACCATTTGGATGATGGAACTGTGAAAAAATCTAGCGATTAAAAAACCCATATATATATATAAAGTTGTACTTTATGGCTCATTTTATCTTCTTATCGGTAGTTCAATACTTTTATGAATATTGAACAGCCTTTCACTTATGTTAAACAATCATTTTAACACTTTGGGGACGAAGTTTTTGAGAAAAAATTAAGGTTTTTACTATAGTGAGAATATATGTTTATTCAATTAAAAATCATTATCAAAAGTGTTCTGGAATGACTTTTCACGGTTTATTGTATGAGAAGATACATGATATTTCCTTTGGGCAGTTATTTTTGAGGTAGTTTAGAGTGCAAGTGCTGGAAAATGTCTAGCAGATAAACATAGCGGTGAATCGATTGATGCTCTTCCGATAGAAATTCGTTTTTGATAACCATAGTTTGACATTGGATATTTTTTATCAGTTGAACACGAAACTTTTTTAACTGTAAATTCTTTGAATTTTACGTTTCATATAAATAGTGTAGATATTTTCAGCACTTTCCGAATACTGGTCATTTACTGTACTGATACAATCATATTATTCTACAGGTTATTTCCACTCACTTCTGATTGATTTCAAATCTATACCATTCTCAAATTTTGTAAAATAGGTGAAGTAGTATATATATATATATAGTACCCCCGTCCCCAAAGGGTTAATAAAGGGAGGCAAAAAACGAAGTATAAATGTTATTCAGCATCAGTTGTTAGAGTTCTTCTTTCGTTCTGAGTATTAATGTATATAGACAAGATGATTGATTGAATTAGATATTGTTACTATAAGAAATTCTAAGAGTTATATGATTTTCATACTGTGTACCTTCGTGGAAGTGCAGGAATAAATTTTTGTCAGAAGAATTAGTTGTTTAATTGACATATTCAATCAACCAGTTAAGTCAAGAATTACAATTGATCGATTCAGTCAAGAAAAATTCTACCAGTTTCAAGTCTGATTAGAATACATTCTCCAAAGTTCGATTTGTTAAAAGTATCTTTGATATCGCCGATCTAATCATAGTATAGGAGACAAGTGATATTATAATTTTTCTCTGAAAATTTCTAAGTTATATGTCATTTTTTGAGATTATTCAAGTCTTCATTTTTGAAGTAGCAATTTCTTTATAAGATAATACAGCTGAAGAAAAGAATAAGAAAAACATACCTGTTAATCAGGTATAGAATATTTTTGCTAATAAAGAATCATATTAAGCTCAATCTTTATGTGAACGTTGGAAATGTCTCGTAACATGTAAAAATAAATTTAACCTTTCTATCTCATGCTTAGTAGAGATAGGACAATTTTTGTATATTTATAATACTTAGTTTTAGCCTCTATCATATCTCCTATAGTATTTAGTCCAACCAGCTGAAACTGTTCATTCTTATTTGTACTTAACAGAAGACAGTCGAATTCAGTCACACTTCTAGTGAGACATATATTAAGTCAAAAAATTATTAATAAAGCTGAGAAGTTTTTATGGAAAAAAAAAGCCGCATTTCTAAAAAACCTTCTTCAAAGGGAAACATTATTTTTTTTACTTAAGGTTGACCAGAAGTTTTTTGCTCGATGTTTAAAGAACCTTGTCGGATAATGTAACTTATTTAGAAATAAAAAAGCAAATATCCGATGTTGTAGAACTTTTTGAGATACGTCAAATGATATATAGTAAATCCTGTTTTCATAAGACTTTGAAGAAACTAGAGTCAATTTACTGATAGACGACTATACACCCACACCCAACCATGATAGATTACTGAATATTGTGATCCTTGGTATTAATCGAAATTGTTTGTAAAATATTTATTCTCACATACGATTTTGTAGAGGTTTTGACGGACTACAATCTCATATACGTAGTATCGCCGATCATCTTATCAGTGTAGATGTGTAATTGTCTACCAGTAAATCGACTCTAGTTCCTTCAAAGTCTTGTAAAAATAATATTTTCTATATACCATTCAACGCGCCTCAAAAAGCTCTACAACATCGGATATTTACTTTTTCATTTCTAAATAGGTTACCTTATCCGACAAGGTCTTTTAAACACCGGGCTTAGACCTTTTGATCATTCTTAAGTAATGAACATCCTCAAAAAATGAGCTTTCAAACAAAAAAAATAGAGTTTATCTCTTACTGTGATAGAATACTACTGGAGGCATGTCACTGAAAGAAAACAGCTGTAAGAAAAAGCGACTTTTTTTTAGATGCAAAATTATCGTTGATAGTGAAAACTTCACTTTTGACAAGAGTACGACTCAAAATCGTGGTGTTAATGAAAGAGCACATCGAATTATCGAAGCATACCTCTTCTGAAAACATGTTTTATTGACGACATTGGATTTCTTCAGGGATCTTAATCATACTTTTAGCTATTTTTGACTGCTCTTATCATCCAATTGCAAGGAGTACACATAGTTTGCTACTAGTAGAATCATAGATTGATCTTCTCGACTTCAGATTCTGCAACGCTTAAACAAGTCTCTAGTTGTCAGTTAAAAATCTTTGATTTCTATGATTCTGACTTGGTTCTCGGTTCCATATTGTTCCATAACCACAGGGCTCTAGTTGCATCCTATTAAATAAATAGAATATGTTAATTTCGATAAATTTGGAAAAAGTTTTTTCATGTTTTTTTTGCCAAAATGATAATGGATTTAAATAATCATTATCTTTATATAGTTTGAAATCGATATAAATATCGACTTCAACTTTTCTTATTATTCTAGATTTTGTTTTTGTTTACTTTATTATCCATCAACAGTTCGAAAGATTTTAAGATATAAATGAAGAAAGGATTTACACTCACCGACACTATTATGCAACTTAAGTGCGAGAGAACTTCGAGTATTTAACTTAACTGTACCCCGGCAAGAATAGTACTCGAGCCGAGATCCCGTCGAGTTTCGACCTGTAATAAAGACATAGAATTAGTAAATAGTCTTGATTGTTGATATTAATAAAAAAATTTGTATATTAATTTAGTCTTGGTGAAAAAGTTCATGATACAATGCATACAGCATTTTGGGATGTTCTACGAGAAGATTTAACTAGTGATCCACCTCGTTATGAACATATTGTTAAATTAATTGGTGAAGCTAAAGAAGTTTGTTTTATTTAATTTAAAATAAAAATAAATAAAATAAAAAAAAACATATTTTTTTTGAAGGATCTTAAAAGTTTAGTATTACCACATCAAATAAATCTTAAAAATCAAATAGATGAATCAATTGATCTTGATACAGTAAAACGTCGATTTGAAGCTAAAGAAGCAGATCCTCATCAATATACAAAATATTTTATTGATACAATGGCAAATCTTTGTGCTCAATGTCGAGATGAAAATATAGCTAAATTACGAACAATTGATGATCCAACTGAATCTTTTAGGTTGGAATTTTAATTTCAAAAAAAGATATTTTATTAAGAGAATTATTTTTTTTTTGTTCTTTTCAGAAATATAATGGAAGTTTTAAGTTTAATGAAAATTGATATGGCTAATTTTAATATTCGACAATATCGACCTTTATTACAACAACAAGCTATTGATTATGAAAAATCAACATTTGACAAATTTATGGAAAATCAACGAGGTTTATAGTTTTTATTAAATAAAAATAAAAAGATAATTTAAAATAATTGAAATGTTTTATATTTAATATAGGAATGGGTATTGATCCATTAGCATCAACATATAAATGGCTTGAACGTGCTTTTAATAGATTAAAAACAAAAGATACAATTGGTTGGTATCAAATACCAACAGATAGAATAACATCAAATTCATATCAAACTCCATTAACTATTCTTAATGAAGCATATTGTGAACTTTTACTTTGGGATCCAAAATATTCATTTCCAGAAGTCAGTTTTTTAAAAATTATTTAAATTATTTAATTTATTGATTTTTTTTGTATTTCTAGACATTAGAATTAGATGAAATTCGTTATAATCAAGTACATATAGCAACAATGCGTTTATTAATTCTATCAACAATAATGACTGTTTTATCACATTTAACTGGTTCGATTTTACGTGATTATGAATCAATTAAAAATCTTCTTAAATCACAAATGATTATTTTATTAGATGATTTTCCAGAAAAAAAGTTTATTATTTACTTATTTTCTAAAATTTATTTTCTTTTCTATTCTAGAAAATTAAAAGATATATTAATATCACTTAGTGAACAAGTTATTAAAACAACTCGAGATGAATTAGATAAATATGATAAAGCTAAAATTATAATTGATAATGAAGAAAATATAAAAGATGCTATTACAGCTATTGGTCAACATCATGTTATTGAACATGCTGTTTTTAAATTACTTTGTAAGATAATTTATTATTTCAATATTATTTTGGTTTTTTTTTCTATCTTAAATATCTTATCTTAATTCTATTCGGATAGATAAATATTTATATGATAGAAGATTTTTAATAGATACTCTCTTTTTCATCTTTTCAACATATAAATTTTTATTGAAATATATCTTTCATTTAAAACAATAGGATAAATTATTTCTTAGTTTTACAAAAAAGAAACACAAGTTAAATCAATCTTTTTACGATTTATCTACATCATCATTCGTACCAGTACTGATTCGAATTAGTCAATAAATGTGTTTTATCCAGTGTGGGAGCAACATCCCTACCAGAATTTATCGTTATTGTTCTATTTAGTATATATCTGTGTTACTAAATATATTAGAAGTTCATCTCTCCAGAAGATAAAATTTAAATAAAATATTGCTCCGTATCCTTTTTACAGATCTCAAAAAAGGAAATAGCCGAGAATAAACAAACGTTCGGATCAATGTTAGATCTTATCAATCAGTAATAAATCAGTTTCAAAAAATAATCCCTAGAAAATAAAAAATCAAGATTTTACTATGTAAACAAACATCTAATGAACAATTTTATCTTAAACTTGTCTTCTACACATGACTAATTATATTGTTATTATGGATGATTTACTTGAAAGAATTTAGTCTTTATCTTTTCTTCCACAATTAGATAAATCAATTGGGTTAATTATATTTCTTATTTAGTTTAATCGTTGTTCTTAAATCAACTATATAGGATTATAGTTAAATATGCAATAATTTTAAGCTGATTGTCTTAGAAATCTTATCAATGAGAAGATAAATATAAGATGAACAAATTCTGAAATCATTTTCTCTAGGCCAAAATTCGAGAAACTTAAATCATCGAAAGCATATCTCTTTGTCTATAAACAATGAAAAAAAAAATGATCCAAACATTGACAGATTATATATAATCTCAGAGAATATTAACAATATTTATAAATCTGAATGATAGATCATTGATATACCTGAAGATGAATAAACACTTTGATATTGTCTCAATCTGTAGGATAGTTCTCGGAAAGGAAAATGAATTGTTCAATTATCGAATAGGGAAACCGATGGTTAACGTATCTATTTTTTTTGTACTAACGATAAAATAGGAAATATGAATATTAACCTATGATGAAAAATTAATTTTTCTAACATATTAATCTATTCTGTTTAGTTCAACGTTATGTAGGTTTTATTCATAACCTATTGGATAATCCAGGAAGTAGTACATCATTAACAAATGTAGCAATACCAAATGGATTAAATATAGTTATGAATGAAGTTATATCAACAGTTAGTTCTTTTCTTCGTTTAATAACTTACAATAGAATGGTTTTTAATGAGCATTATGATCGAATTATATCGCAACTCCAATCATCATCTTCATCAAACAAATAAACAGTCTCATTTGTTTTTTTGTTGAAAATTCAAAAAAAAAGCATTTCAATTTGGTTGTTCTCATTATTTTATATTAATTATTTAAAAAAAAAAAGAAGAAAAAGGTCTGCTGTTGTTGTTGTTTTTTGTCTATCTTCTTTAATTAAGCAAGAATAAATAAAACTAATAAAACTAGTATATTATTTATTTTATTTAATAAAGTTCGGACGGAAAAACAATAAAATATAAGTATAGGTTGATTTGTTTTTTAAATTTGACATTAAATAATGATAGAAATGAATATAATACTCAAATAAATAAATAATATAAATATGTTAAAATTATTTTTTGATTGATTATTAATATAATTTGTCATTTCTAATATTTCTAAAAATAAATTCAATTAAATTATATTTAAATAAATATAAATTAATCATACGTGTTGTATTTGATAAAGATCTTTCATTTGGATAAAATGATAAATTAGATCTAGAAATAATTGGTTTTATTGATATTCGATGATAATTATCTTTTGATAAATCATCTTTTTCAATAATTTTTATCATTTCTTCATTTTCACCATGAGAATTTATTGCACGACAAATAAATGTTGTATTAAATAAACGTCTTGGAATACGCTTAAATAGATTTTTTATTTCATTTAGATTAAAATATTTTATTTTTATTTCAACAATTTATATACAATATCATTATTTTCAACATGATTTTATAATAGAAATTTTATTTTTCTATTCAAGTATATTTTACTATTTCTTTTTTCTTTTTTCTGACTATTTAAAGTGATGGAAAAAAACGTTTTGAAACAACGTTTTTTTCATAATGTTAAGTACGTAGCTACAATTGAAATAGTGATTTTAATAGCCAATGGAGTTTTCTATCTAATAGACTTTATAACAAGATTTGATGGCAACGCTCCTAAAAAACCGAACACTCTATTTTTCAGGTTCTAGAAGACTTTGCCAGAGTTATTTTTGAACGGTACCATCTTAAAGAGCACACAATTTTCAGCTAAATGATTGGTCGTCGAGTTTTCTATGAACTTCTCGTAAAAAGTTACAAGCATTACAAAAATCATGAAAAAGGCGTTTTTAGTCGATTTTTTACTATTTTTGTGATACTTGTTACTTTTTATGAGAAGTTCATAGAATACTCGTCGACCCCTCATTTAGCTGAGAATTTTGTACTCTTTGAGATGACATCGTTTAAAAATAGCTCTGACAAAGTCTTATAGAACCTGAAAAATAATGTGTTCGGTTATTTAGGAGCGTTGTCGTCATTGTTCATTTGTGAAATCTTGCTATAAAGTCTATTGAATAGAAAACTCCATTGACTATTAAAATCGCTATTTGAATTGGAGCTACGCACTTAACATTATGAAAAAAACGTTTTTTCCATCAGTTTATATCTATAAAGTAGCTTCTATAATTGAAATTCGTTTTGCTTTTTTTTTCAATAGAGAATTGCTTTAAAATCGAATGAAACTATGTTAATAATCACTGATTTAAATTTTAATTATTTTTTTTTTTGGTTAGATTTTTTCTTAATAATTAAAATAATTTAAACGAAAAATAGTCTGAAATGAATATTGATCTCGTTAATTATTTGAATATTAATGATAGTTTGACTAATATAGATAAATAATTTTTTATCTTAAATTGATATTCATAGTTGTTCGGGGTCATTCGGAAGTCTATTGTAAGTATTGTTAGATTAGAAAGTTAAAAAAAAAAAAAAGTAATTTGAAAGATAATAAATGAAGCATTTACTTTAATAAAAAGAGTTGTTTTCCATCTGGTTGCATTTAACTGTTCTTGTTTAATGTACCAAATATCATTATCTATTTTATAATGATTATTATCAAAATATTCTTTATAAAATAGTCTAGATAAATCAATATCTTTATTTATATCCTGAGTATATCTATGTAACCATTGTATATCTGATTCTGGATTAGTATCAATAAAACATTCTAATAGAAGAGTATCACCAATTAAATAAGAAGATTTTTCTCTTAATATAGAAACATTTGGTGGAACTAATCATTCAAAATAAAAAATTTTTCATGTTTTTTTTATTTTTTATTTTAATTAAAATAGTTTAATTATAAAAACTTACATTGTACATCAATTTCATAAAATCGTCCAATTGTTCCAAGAATATTTGTAGCAACACATTCATATATTCCATTATGATAACGATTTACATTAACAAGATTTAATTGACAAATATTAGATGTTATTGAACAATTAATCATCATTTTTTGTTTATTTTCTAAGAAAAAATAAATAAATAAAATGAAATATATATTAATTAAATAAAAACCATTCATTTTTTTAATCCAGTTAATATATGGTTTTGGTTTTCCTTGTGCTTCACAAATAATCGAAATATTTTTTCCAACTTGTGTTCGTAATATTGTTGAATATTCATGTGTTATAAAATAAGGTCGTTCTTTAATTAATAAAAAAGAAATGTTTATTGTTTTTATTTAAATATAATATAAATAAAAATCTTACCAACAATATTTAATATAAATAATTTAATAATATTATTATCTTGTTGACATGAATATGTTCCACTATCAGATAACTGTACATCATCAATAATCAATGAATATGTTATTATATAATATGATGATGTATTATTTATCATATGAAATATTTTTCCTTCTTCTATATGAAAACGTTCATCAGAATTAATACGAATTCTTGAATAAAAATATACTTCAGCATCTTCTAAACGTAACCATAAACCCTATAAACAAATTTTTAAATTAAAAATAAATAAATATTTTAATTTACTTTTCTATTCCCATTTATTATTGAATTATTTAATTCACATTCCATTCTTACTCGTTTTCCCACATTAACATTCAAATAATCTCGAGATATAAATGAAGAATCATTTATATTATTTGTCATTACATGAAAAATGGTTAAAAATATTGTCGTCAATAGACGACAGATTATCATTTGTTTTATATTTAAATATAATAGAACATCTAAAAACAATAATATATAGATTCACTTCAAACAACTTCTCTTTATATATTAATCAATATAAGACATTCGCCACGAGCCAATTCTTACACATAATCCTAACATTGATCATCCTTATATTAAACCCTGAGGCTCTCATACATATGTATCGAAGGTTAAAAAGTGTCTTTTGTTCATTTATTTTAAGGTTAAATATGATGATATATAACATACGAATACACAATGTCGATATGATGACTTATTTTTTTCGAATTAAATATTCTTCTCTCCACCCATTTCTCATCGATCATAGACAGTTAATGTATATCTTCACACGTGCATATACAAACATCATCATAACAAAAAAATAAAAAAAAATAAAAAATAACAATAATTAATTGAGACATTTTGAAAGAAAGAGGAGAATCATTCACCTCTACCTACTTATGACTAATAGTTGCCTTCTGACACATTAACGATGAACCGTTCATCTGACATAAATACATTCATAAAAAAGAAAAAAGAAAAAAGAAAAAAGAAGAAAAATTCACTTTTTCTCTTCCCTCAATGTAAAGGTCATAAAAGCAATAGAAGCAGACAGACAGTCTAATAATTAGCTTATTATTATAATTGGCTCGATCCTCTTTACTTGTATTGAGTATCTCCTATTATAATCAACTGTAAATTGATCAGTCAGATGAGTTAATATGTTGTTACTGGCATAAAAACTAGTAAGAGTCCATTTGTAAATCAAGGTTGTTTTAGATCTGTTGAAAGAATCGACTAAGTAGAATTTAAATGAATAGATATTAATCCTTCAAATTCAAGGATTATGTAACCATTTTCTTCCATTCTATATATTAATTTTCATTCTCTTTCTCACGCAATAAATTAATTATATTTCTACTTACTATTCTATGAATAAGATAGTAGCAGATCTCACAATTGAAAAAAAAAAGAAAGAAGATATATTTATTAATTTCTGATAGAAAGATTTTTCCTCTAAATCAATATAATTTCCATTTCTTCGTTTAAGACAAAAAGAAAAAAGGAGAAAAGAAGAAATTGATTTTTGACATATCATACGATTAGTTTCTTTGTTTAATATAAATGTCTATGTGTAGAGAAAAATGAATAGAAAAGAAGAGATTGATGAATATAATAATAATAATAATAATGTTGATATCTCATAACTCGTTGGTAGATATATAATTGCATTCTTTTATAAAATGTTATACGATATCTTTTCTTTTTCTTCTCTTTTTTTTTGATTAATCATGTAAAGGGCATGTTGAAATATTGATTTTCTAATTTCATCAAATAATATAAGTGAGTGATTCTTAATTCCATGTTTGACAGTTGCCTCGAGCATTCAATATACACTTCAATGATAACGAGCTAGTGTCAAGATTATTAACGAGAAAAAAAAATGCATCAGTGAAAAGCTAATTACTCGTATTATGGTTAATCTTTCCTAATCATTGAAAAATTCATTTATGTATTTAGGATTATTTTCATCAAAACAAAAACAAAAAACAAAAAGGAATCGATTAATCAATAATGAAAAATCCATAAAAAATAAAAAACAATATCAATATGATATTACTTTATTGAAAATGTTGATTCTCATCTTCATTTTTATGATTATTTGTTTGAACATTTAAGAGAAAGCGCAAATCACTAGAACAAAGAAATAAAACAAACAAACCGATGATCAATAATAAGATTGAAAAGTAAATGACGTCAATCAAAAAGGAATAGTTTAATATGATATTACAAATTGAATATAATATAACAATAAATATAAAGAGAAAATGATTTTTACTAAATTGACCGAGTTCGAATATGAATAGTCTATTCGTTATTTCTATAAAGAATAACCTAATCATCATCTCGATCGACAGACAACTGTTCTCTCCATTAATACATTCATTTTTTTTTTTCTCTACACTTAATTATTAAGAAAAATAAAAATCTAATCGAATTCTTTGTTCTGTTTTATCTCAAATAATGATTAAGAATTAACTCTATCTATTCAATGTAGTGATCACTACTAAAAAACATTCGACATTTGTCAGCATCATTTTTTTTTCCTGTCAGACAATAATCTACAACTATAACAGAAGTCACAAAATCATTTTCAATGCATTTGGGAATACAACAAAAAATATACTCATATTAGTTTTGTCTAGGAGAAATTATTTTACACTTTATTTGCTTGGACAAATTAAAGAAAAAATAGAAAACATATAGAGATATTATGGAAATTATATTTTATTTGAATTTATATTGAAAATATAGAAAAGAATGTCGCTAGGATTTTTGTTTTCTATCAAATCCATATGAATTTTATAATTTATATATCATCATAAATCATTTTATTAGAAAAACAATAAGCCAAATTTCTATTAGATATTTATTGTTTCACTATTTATAACTTTCGACATATGAAGAATAACAATTTTTCTAAAAACACTTTTTTTTAGAATACTCTCTATTTCAAAAGAGTTTATTTATCATTATATATATTTAATGCAATCGAAAAGTAGTGTCGCCATTATCTTATTTCCGTGTAGAAAGCTTTAAGAAAGTTTCTCTCAATATATTCTTCAAGAGAAAAGAATGTTCTGTTTTTCTATGCTATTTAATCATACTTCAACTAATATAGTAATAATAAACATTCGATAAGATTTGTTTCGCTATGATATGTGCTGAATGTCTATTTAGTGAGTATTTTTTGAATAGATTTTCATAGAAACAAGATAGAGAGGTGAGATTTTCATCATTCGAAAGAGAAGATAAAGATGCATCGAGTCATATATTATAGGATTTTTTTTATTTGACTGTTTTTTAAAGATTTTCAATTAACCTCTTTGAAAAGAAATCTACTCATGAAATATTTACAGTGAATTCTGAAATTGTCAGGTATCTATTGAAATTGCCGATGAAAGATCTATAAAAGTGCACAAGATTGAGAGGTTTAGAATTAATCATTGAGAAGTTATAGGTATCCTAGTTGAAATTTTAAGTGATTTTTTTGGTTATTTATATAAAAGAATTTTTTGCTTTGTTCATTTTTGATAATAAACCATTTTTTCTACACTTAGAAAAGTGATTAAATAAAAATCAAACCATATACTAGGAAAACATATAATACATCATTTGATACATCTTTATCTCCTCTTTCGAACAATGAAAACTTCACCTCTCTATCTTTTTTTCATCAATAGTTATTCAAATAATATCCACTAAATAGATATTCAGCACATATCATAGCGAAACAAAAATTTTAATGAAAATTTTATTATTATTCAATTAGTTGAAATATGATGAAATAGTATAGAAAAATAGAAGATTCTTTTCTCTAGAAGAATATATTGAGAAAAAGTTTCTTAAAGCTTTTTATAAAGAAATAAGATAATAGCGACATTACTTTTCGATTGTCTTAAGTATAATATAAAAAGTTTTTCGAATTAAATAAAAATATATAATTTTCTTTTCCAGTATAATTAGAAGAATTAAACAGATACTTCCATAGCAACAATTTTGTTATTTAATATATTTTTTTAGATTGTTAATGGAATAGAGTAGAACATTCTGCTTTTATATAGTTGAGTATTTTGTTTTTTGAGTGCTAAATTTCAACAAGATGGTTATCTTATTGATATTTACTACTTTATCAACATACTAAGAAGTTTAATAATAGATTATTATACATAATGGACGTTCAGAAAAAGGTAGGAGGGAAAGAAGACCCTGTCAGGTCCAAAAATTTTGGATCCGGATCCAATCCCGAATTGTATTCTTGATATGTAATGAAATTTATTTAATTTGCACTTGATAATCCTCCAGGAACACATCCTCAACAATCCTGAACCAATCTCGATCATGATTTTATAAGAGTCAACTTATAATTGACTCTTTTTTTTGAGAGTACCATCCATGAAGTCAGATCCGGGTCCAGGTTCGAGATCAAGCCGGCGAGCTCTAAAAAGAAGTCATCAAATATCAGACATTTCTATGCAAGAAGAGAGAAAGTGTCAGACGCATTTCGACGTCAGTATATTTGAGGAAATAGACTTTTATGAAAAAAAACTTTGAAAATCGGATGTTCAGTAGAGAGAGGGAGGATGGTAGTTAAAGTCGAACATTTGCGGACAAGGGAAAGTGAGAAGACAATAAAATGCAAGGTTTATCATAGACGTCATTTCTAGATGATTGACAAGATTTTGTTGGTAAAAATTTTCTAATAATTATCATAAACTGGTGAGCTAAACAACATAATTCTCAATGTGATGATCATTAGATCAAGATAGATTTTGAAAGAATTTAATTTCATTTTTCCAATGATATATAGAAGAACATTCTTGATAGTTGAAAATTTCTGATTGCCATTGAGGAACAATTATTAATGCAACATCTTGAGATGTTAAGATTCTTCTAGGTTTATATATTAACAATGCTGAATGTGATATCAGATTTGTTTCTATTGTTGTTATCTAATTAAAGAAAAAAAAGGCTAGATCTAGTGTTTGACTGTAACAGCTGGTCTAGTTTTATAATATGGAAAGTAAATGATTATCGATAAGAGATAATTTACATGAAAATAAAAGTAAACTGTATATATAAATATATATATTGATTAAATAAAATATCAATTTAATATAAGAATAAGATTGATTGAAGTGATAATAAATATTTCTAAAATAGTGTAATAAATAGTATAATATAATGTTATATTAGTATAATAGAATTGTAATAGTATATATATAATAGAATAAGATAATGATTAATATAAACATAAATCTAGTTGTGGTCTATCACGTGTTATGTAGGCGATAGATTGACAACTTATTTCAACGTTTCGACTTGTTGCACTTTGTTCTTCTTACAATAGATTCCAATCGAATATTCGACTTTTTTTTTCTAACTTGTTCTGTTAATTTGTTTTCTAATTCAGTAAGATACTTTTTTTTTTGTTAAATCTAATAAGTTGTATATTTTCATCATATTTTTATTTGAATTATTTAATAAATTTTGTTTTATGGAAAGATTCTTAAAAAAATTTATGAATTTCTTATAAATAAATATATAATTATTGAGTCAATGTATTAATTTGTTGAGAGAAATCTCCAATATACTCTTAAAATAAATGTTTCAATGATAAAAAATTTCTAGAGCACAAAAGTGACGAAAAAACTACGGACACATAGCCAATTGCGCATTAACACATATGATATTTTGTCAATTAGCAATGATAGTTCGGAGGAAATCTTAGATAAAAAAAACGACTTGTTAGTTTATAGTTGTTTCTGTGTTGATTGACAAGTCAAAAAAAAAAGGCGTTGTTTTTTTCTTGTTATTCTTATGTTTGCACATTCATTTTTCTTCGGTCTGTAGAAACGTTTTATCAATGTTTTACTCATTTATATTAATATATGAATGTCATTCGAAAATAAATATCTATCACTTTTATATAATAGACTTACTTTTTATTAATTCATACAAGTCGTTTTATAATATCGATTATTTGAAACATCTCATTTAGGTTTAGGTTTTTTTTTTGATATTTGAAATAATAAATTTTTTGAATTATTTCTAATGAAATAATATAATATATGTGATTCTCGAAAAATTTGATAATCTATTTCGTATGATTAAATAAAAAAAAAATTGTTTTGAAAATAAATACTAATTATATGTTTATAAGGTTAATTTTTAAAAATAATTCTCATAATCCATTATCATCCTATGAATATAAATATATATATCCGAGTACATAATAAAATCTATACTAGTAGAATTCGAGTCAATCTATTATTTAAAATCTAGTCATATATATTGAATATATATTAGTATATATGCTAAAAGTTAATTTATATTCATTCTTTAGATTTTATTCTAAATTATTGAATATAAATGAAAATAATCAAATAAATTCTATATACTATTAAATACTGAAGTTATTATAAGTAAACACTGATATATAGATAAAAAAAAATGAATTATTGAAGTTTGTTATAAATAAAAAGTGATAGATTTATTTTTATTAAAAATGTTCGTGTTCTATAAATAAATTTGCAATGATTTTTCTCTTATTGTTTGAGATAGTGTTTATAATTGTATAATAAATTTGAATAAAATATTATTTATTTTGTTTTTTCATGATAATTTATGATAGAATAACAATAGTAATCGAAAATAAAAAAAACAAATTCTGATCTTATATATTGAATATGTAAATTTTGTTTAAAATATATTATTATGATTAATCGAATAATTCTTTTTATCTATAGTTATTATTCATCCTTTCTCAACGAATTAAATATATATTTAATCAATGTCATTGATTTTAATGTCTCTTGAGATATTGAAATATATAATTTAGTACATACCATTTATATTTACACACAAATAGGGACAAATACATCAAAATCCAATAGGTTGATTTAACAGCACCGTTAAAAAGAAAAAAAAACGAAAAGAAAAGTGATAGACAGTTGTATAAACATAGGTATATATATATATGACATAAATAATAATTTGTTTTATTCGTTAAACGGTGAAATAATATCAGAAAGATAAGGATTTTTCATAACGCCTTCAATAAATTCATCTTTAGTTAATGTTCGATCTTTATTAACATCAATTAATGAAAAAATATCTTCAACACATCGTTCAGGTGCATAATCACTTTTAGATTTTCCTAATAAATCATACATTGCCGATATAACACCAATCATTTCTTTTCTATCAATTGAATTATTTTTATCTTTATCATAAATTGAAAAAACATAATCAAGTTTTTGACGCATTGTACCTAATGATGTTATTGCATAACCACCTTAAATATTATTTAAATAAATAAATAAATAAATAAATATTAATTAAATTTAAACTTACAAAGAAATTCAGTAAAATCAATTTTTCCATTTGAATCTCTATCAAATGCTGTAAATACAAAATTAGCTATTTCTTTAACTTTATCATCGGATTCAACACGTAATGAACGATAAAATTTATAAAAATCTTTTCGACCCATTTTACCCGATGGACATGCCAATAGAAATTGTTTTCTAAAAAGAAAATAAATTAAATTTATTTTTTATTTAATTAATTAAATAATTTAATAACAAACCTCCATGCTATAATTACTTCACGTTCTAAACCTGTTTCTTCCACTAATTTATCCAAAATTTTTTGATCAAAAGGTGATTTTTGTACTTTATTACCCATATTTATTATTTCTGAATTAAATCAATAAAAACAAAATGAAAAATAATAAAGAAAAAGACAAGAAAAATAAAATAGCTAAGAATAGAAATCGAACAAAGAACGAAGATTAGTTCTTGATTAATGTCTCTCAAAAGAAAAAAAGCAAGAATTCATTTACTATATTTCTCAATAATTTAAGTCAAATGTATTTTCAGTCATATGAAGAAGAAAGACACGCAAAAAAAAAACTGAAGATTGATAGAATAATTGTGTAGTCTTTAATTTGTAATCTAAAAGTATGCATGCACTTGTTTTTGTCTCTTGAGAAACTAACGCTGTATACTATGGCTCTTCCTTACCACCTCAATTGTGATTTTAATCAAATATGACACTTAACAAATAGATGTTTGGGGAAAAATATATATTAGAAAACAAAAAAAAAAAAGAACAAAGAATCTATGACTGTATGTTGTTCATTTATTAAGAAGAAAAAATGATCTAATGACGTGACTGTGCCGCATTCATTGATGTAAAGAAATAAAAAAAAGAAATTTCTTTTTGCTTTTTATTTATTCATTGAATATAAAATTCTTCTAATAAATGACACACTTCGAAAGAGTCTAACGATCAATAAATAGAATCTTAAATTAAATTACGGAATTCATTTAATACATATTTTATTTTCACTTTTTTTTTTTATCTTTTCAAATAAAAATAGTTCGAATTATTTGTTTTTTTTAAAAAAAAGAAAAATATTTATAATTTTTTGATAAGAATAGTTGACATATTTAACCTTGAAGAAATGAATATATGAGAAAAAAGAATAACTCTTAATGAGATAAATTTTATTTATTTAAAAATAAATTTAAAAATAAGTTAGAAAAATGTTAAATAGTCAATAAACGGTAGTAAAACTTACATATATATATATATATATATATAATCTGATGATATGAAACAATAAATTATGAGATTATTTTATATCTGTTGACTTTCGACAGTATATATCAGATTTGATGCTACTAATATGATTTAGGGTTGTTTTCTTGCTCTATAGTATATTATAGATTCTTTTACTTATTCAACTCTAATAGATACCAATAGTATATTTCTTTTTTGTTTTTGTAATCCTACTCTCATTGTCACTTCACTTAATAATAATAGTTTTATGAACTGACCTCGTTGTCTTGCTGTTCGTTTGTTCTTTTTTTTTATATCTATCGATGAAAATGAAATATTTGTTCCGAATAGGTCGTTGTCTCGTGGGGTCATTTTTCTCGTCCTACGTTTTCTGTCTGTTGTTTACAGTTAAACAATTAATGATTATCTTTCTCAAGAGATTTCTTTTTTCTTTTCTTTTTTTTCGTCTTTTATTATTATCGATTGAGAATAGTAGAACCGTTAGGAACATGATGTTACAATAGATAAAATTGTCTTTTCAACTCATTTGGGATTTTCAATATTTCCTCATTAGAAATTTCATTTCTCAATCGAATTTACCTTGTTTCTCTTTTTATAATAGAAAATAAAAGAAAAACACAAATTAATTAAGAATAAACAAAAAGAAAATAGAAAGTCTAATTATTGAATCAAATTCACAATAGTTGTTAATAGATGTTGACAGATGGATAGACACAATAATTTGTACAATCTATGAATTGGATAGAGAGGTTTTTTTTTGTTATATTACGTTGTTTCCTATATAAACATTTATTTTTCCTCGTCTGTTATTCTTCTATGGATAGATCTCTCGTTATCACAGAACTGAATCGTTCTTATTCTCGCTTCATCTAACGATTAAATATCGAACGGAACGGTTTTTTTTGCTTTGTATTCTAAACGATTTGTATGTCAAGCTGTGCTTCCGCACCAGTCAATAATCATTGAGATTCTATGTAGATATAAAGATTAAACATGGATGAATGATTGCTAAATATTCCGAATGATGTCAATAATGTCAATAAATAAATAACTTTGAATAATTGAAAAGTTTTTTCGATTATGAAATTAGTTTAACTATCATATTACATCACTAAGAATAAGGAAGAAAGAAAAATGATAAGATAAACTTTTATCAATAATATTCATTTCTATAGAAATTTTATAGAACATACATATTAAAACTGTTTTCAATAACAAATTATTATTTGATATATGATAGTCAAACATTTTTTCGAACTATCACAACTCATCTATATATATATAGAGAAAGATTGAATTACACTTTCTAACAACTTCTGTTTATTAATTCATTAGAATTTATTTCAAATATGTTCGATATTAAAAAAAATTAAAAAAAAAAGTAAAAACAAGATTGATTTTATCTAAAAATAAATTTGATAAAATCTGAAAAAAAAGGTATTGAAATAGTTTGTCATTCGATGAAGTAAAAATGTCTATATAAATCTGATTAGTATTTCTGTGCAATAATTATATTATATTCACTAATGATAAATAAGTAAATAAACAAACAAAGATTGATCCGATAAGTATTTGTTCATTGTCTCGACTATATTTAAACAATGATCAATATAATTTAGTGAATTGAACACTTTTTACAAATCGTTCAACTTACAAAAATATGTTTCTTATTCTTATCTTTAATTTACCTTATTTCATTTTTGCTCATATTGGTTTGTTTTTTTTGTTAAAAATGAATTATTGATTTATTTATTATTTAAATTAGGTTATTCAACAAAAAGTTATTGTTTAGATGGAATTGAAAGAGATAAACTTATTCTTGAATGTCGTGATAATGAATTAATAAAATTAGGTCGTATTATATATGGTTATTCATGGTCAAATGATTGTTCTTATATTGATAAAGATTGTACTATGGATTTACCATCTGAAGATATTATTTGTTCAACAACATCAAATTGTACAGTTCGAGTTGTTCAACATCCATTAATTTTACAAGATTGTTGGAATTTAGCTGCATCTTATGTTCAAGCTGAATATGAATGTGTTCAAGGTTTTATATTAAAATAAATGAAAATAAATTTATTTTTATCTTTATAAATATTTTAGATTATTCTTTAAAAAATATTTGTGAATCTCAAGATATAATATTAACGGATGGTTTTATTTCAACACCTAATTATCCAAATGGATTTTTATCAAATTTAAATTGTTTATGTACATTAGTTGCATCATCAAATAATTCAATTGTTCTTGAAATAATTAATTTTAATTTACCAATATGTAGTGAAGCTGGTCTTCTTTTATGGATTGGAGAAGATTTTCAAACAAAATGTCTTACACAAGATCCAATAACACTTATTAGTAATTATCAACAAAATATAACATTTAGATTTTATACATTCAAAAATCAAAAACAAGGAGGATTTTTAATGAAATATTATCTTTTACCTCAATCAAATAATGCAACTCTTAGATTACAATGTCATCTTACATCATCAACTAATCGATCGATAATATCAAATCATTTTTTAACATATAAATCTTCTCGACGAAATTCAAATCAATATGAAAAAGAATTATCTCTAACTCATTCAAATGATTTAATAAAACGATTTCGATCTTCTCCATCGATTATCGAACCTTATACTGTATGTTAAGATTTATTAAGAGTTTAAATATTTAATTGATTCACTTTCTTTTTTAAGGATATTTTACCTATTCATAAACAACAACAATTACCAATTTTTAATCAATCAACATATAGACAATGTAATAATAATACTTGTTTTATTTTAAATCTGAAACATTTTTTTTTCCCTGTTCAATAGATTTCTTACCGAATTCTACACCATTTTCTCGTTCAAATATTAATTTAATAATAATATTTATTATTTCAATAGTTGTCTTTCTGATTGTGATTAATGTTCTCGTTTGGTTTATGTGTTCTTTACGGTATGTATTTATAAAAAAATATTTTAAAAAAAAAAAATCTTGATAAAATGAAATAAAATTAGATTAAAAAGTTGTAAATCAACATCATCTGTTCAAAATTTATATTCTCATAAAATGAATTTAAATAATGAAGTAAAAAGATCATTAAATAAAGAATTTTCTCATGAAACAAATCGTTTAAAAAGTCTTCATTCATTATTATATGTTGATCATAAAGCTGTTGATATAAATCCAATAAAAACAAATATTAATCGTGATCTTGATTCATCTTTATCAGAATATAATTTACCTTCAAATTCATCTCCAACAAATTTTAATCATGCCTTTATTATTAAATCTAAATCAAGTGAAACACTTCAAGAACCAAGACAAATTAATTCATGGGATGATATTTAATATTATTTTATTTTATTTTAAATATAAATATTTATTTTAGGGTTATTTAATTAATATATATATATTCATTTATTTTTCCGGTGTTATACTTTTTTTTTATTTTATCATTTTAAACTATTTAACATATTTCATATGTAATCATTAACTTTATTCAAAGATTCGAGTGAAAATCTTTTGTTTTGTTTTTTCTTCATTTATGACATCATATTGTGTTTATTTGTATTTATTAGATAAACAAAATAATAATCATATGACTCAAATATATTCTATTAGTTTTATTTTATTTTATTTTAATTAGATTTTAGAATTAAAATTATTCTTTTTATAATATTGATGTGTCAAATATTTTATCTTTTAGAACACGACATCAATCGAGTAAGCGATCAACCGAAAATTATCAGAGACAATATTTGTTTACTTTTAGTTACGTTAAAAGTATTTCCGACGAGTAAAAACCTTTGTATTATAATGAGAATTTGGTGCTCCTTCTCAATGTAGACTTACAAATATTGTTGAAACCAATAAGATAATTATTACTCTCGAACAAATTTGAAATAAAATTTCTAAGATAATTTTCTAAAAGTGTAGAATATGTTAGTTCTAATTCATAGATTTTAACTCGTCGAAAATAGTTTGAAGATAGTTTAAAATTTTGTCTGAAAACTTTTGTTCCATATGTTTATATATATTGATAATTGATTAAAGAAAGTATATTGTCTAATGAATAGTTTATTATAAATGATCTGAATTTCAATGAAGAAAAATACATAGAATGTAAAAACAAAATATGTCATCTTCAATAATAATAAATGAACTTTTATTTAATTTTGTAGAAATAAATAACCGTTGGTTGTCATTCGTTATAATAGTTTGACTTGTCATGGATATTTTATTTTTCTACTAAAAATAAAATTCTTATAATTGTTCATTAATTTGTAATTTCAATTAATAAATTATTTTTCATAGAGAATATTGTTTAATATTAAAATAGTTTGAATGTATAACAAATTGATTTGTTCATGTAAGAAAGTAATTATTTATTATTTCTTCGATATCAATGCAAAAATTTTAAATGACTATGTTAATAAGTTGAATTACTAACTTTAATGTTTGTTTTACAAGAAGGAACAAGCGCACTAACTTCCGGACATTCGTTACATAGACGGTTCATATTGTATGATCCAATTGTGTTTGTATGAGGTTTATGAACACCAAATGGTCGAGGATGATAAATACTTTCGACTGAAAACTTTTTTGCAATCGAAATAGGTGCAACACGACCATTAAAATAAGGTAAATTGTCTGTAAACCATCCATCTTCATTTATTTGATTTACTGGAAAACGAAAACGTTTATTTTCAAGCATTTGAAGTATTTTTGATCTAGTTCTTAATGAAAGTCCGCCATTACAACAACCACCACCAACCCAAGGTGCACCAACAAAATCATATTGTAAAAAATCGTTTATATTATATGAAGAATTTGAACAAAGAACAGCATCTATTTGAAAAAGTAATACTTTATCACCATATACTTTATGCCAAAATGATGATGAAGTTAATATTGAATTAATATATTTATCACTAGCTAAACCATTTGATTTTTGTTCAAGATCTGTTAATAAAATTCTATCACTATTTATATATTGATTAAGAGAAGATTTATTATAGAATGACCAATTTTCATATGGTGTTATTATTTGAACTTTCCAATCTACAGGAATATGTTCAATAACATTGTTTACAGTATTAACAACTGATTCAATCGCTCTATCATCAACAATTACTGCTATATAAGGATATTTACTTTTATAATTAATTTTAATATAAAAATTATATCGAAATACATTATTTCTATTCAAATAAATCATTATTATTGAAATAAATATTAATACAATTATTAACCATAATGGTCGAGTTGAACCACGTTTTTTGTTCAATATCAATGACATTATTATCTAGAAAAATGAAAGGAAAAAGAAAAACTTTAACTATTTATATCTATAACGAAATGAATATGTAACTCTAATATTTATTTTGATAATCATCTTTATTCAGCTAATTTCTTCAGGGGATCCTCATCTTAAAAATCTAACTTTGATAGGGCACACGAGATATTAATAAAAATTTGCATAGATGTTGGATTCATGGGAGTACATTAGTAAAAAACAAAAATTTCACACCTCTATACATTACCGTTCAGAAGATTTCCAGGGACCAAATTAAAACAAAAGAGCTTCTATGTGTACAAACTTTTTTCTAATATACTTCAAGCTGTAGAGTTCGACTTGCTTTTATTTAAAATGGAATTCATTACAGATTTGGATGAGGAAAAGACTTTGTTTAATTTTTAATTTTGTTGTATTTTTCAGATCATTGAAATCGAAAATAATCTGGAAAATCTAGAATTTCTCTAGCATTGGCAACTAATTAAAAAATTTCTTTCTCTCATCTGGAAAACTATGCATATATCTATCGATAGAAAAAAAAACTACAGCGCTCTAGATTGAAGTATATTGAAGAAAAAAATTTGCTTGCAGTTCAATCTCTATCGAAAAAGTCAATTTTGAGAAAAATAAAAATCAAGGTTTTTCTTTGTATAGTCTTATTATGATTATATAGACGGAGGTGAAGCGTAAACATGTTACATGTCAATCGATGCATTTATCGATTTAAAATTAGATTGTCCTTATACGAGATACAACACGATAGATGACACTAACTATAATTATCTTTATATTCGTTATATCTAGGGATGTCCCGACCACGAACGGATGGGGGGTGACCCCCCCAATATTCGAAAATTTTGTGTTTTTTGGTGGATAATTTTCGAAAATTTTTTAAAACTTATAAAAAATTTTTGAAAAAATCACCGGCCCTCCTCTTCCTCCTCCTCCTCCCAATATTTTTCATCTCGGGACATCCCGAGTATTATCATCGAGTACATCATAAAGACAGAAGAATAACAAATAACTTTCTTTTAAAACTAACTAATTCCCTTGCAGAGTTTTTTAAAAACTAATAAGAATGGTCATATTTACTAATAAATGATAAGAAATATGTTATTTTATTTCCAAGTAAAACATCTACTTTGATCATACATCAGAATCTCAATACACTCTACAATAAATTTTCCTTTAAGAGGGGATGTCTCTCAAAAACGAAGGTTTTTTTTTCGATTATCTAATCTTGATGAAATTTGCAGTGAAGGTGTATCTTGAGCTAGATATCTCACAGTAAAAATTTCAGCTCGATACATTAAGTCTAACCCTCCTCCCCCCCCTAAAATAAAAAGGCATGGCCTTCTATTACGTTCCAGTGAATCAGCCTTTTTTTGGTGGCGTTCTATTGTGGATGGTCTTCTATTATGAGTTTTTCGGAAAATTCCTTCTATAGCTATGCTCATTTTGTTAACATCTTTTTCTACTAGTTTTACTCATTTCAAGCACTAAATGTGGTTTATTCGTTGATTGTACTGGAAATGGAAGAAATTACATTCATTCACTCACTCATTCACACTAGTTAATTTTTTTCGTTTTGTCACTGTTGCATGCTATCTATTGGAGAGAATTGTATATTTTTTCATCGCGTGATGCAACTCAGCGAAAGAAAAGAAATATACAAATTTTTTGTCCTATAAATAACGTACATCAGTGACACAACGAAAAAGGTGACTAATGTGAACGAGTGAGTGAATGAAATTGACTGGCATGACGTTCTATTCGGGGTGGCCTTCTATTATAGGGTGACGTTTTATTTTGGGAGGGAGTTTATGAAGAGTTATCTTAAGATTATCGGTCAAAATTTTAGGTTTCTATGCATCCCAAATTTCTTCGCAATTTCAAATGCTAGAAAGTTTAGGTTGGTTTTAAAATTTAGCCAAGATGTAGCACTACAACTTAACAGGGTTTGATTTTTTCCAATTTTCTCCTAGCTTATGTTTCTAGAAAACTTCCCTGATGAAATATAGAAAACCTAAAAGATGTAGGTAAGCCAAGAACGGCTAGTTTTTTTTTTATAAATATTAATGGATAAATCGAAAACTACGACTTCGTTAAGTTGTAGAGCTAATTTTTCCCTTCATTTTGATATAAAGTTCAGCTTTTCTAGCGTTTAACATGGCGGAGAAATCTTAGATGCACGGAAACGCAAAAACCAATAGTTTTTTCCTGTGTGAAGGTTGAGAAAAACTTATCTTATATCCTTAAATCTCATCATAAGATGAATAAACTATAGTGCATTCGAAAGTAGATACTTTACTCTATCTAACGAGCTAAAAATCATAAAATCGATAAGTTTGACCAGAATTGGCTTTTTGTGATGGAAAGATCCTTTAATTGAGAGTTGTCACTATTTCACTACGAACTAGAGATCTGAAAAATCACTATTTTTCAGTTCAGGTTAAAGTTTTTCTAGTCCCGGTTCCGATCCCGTCAAAAAGCAAAATTTTGGTTCCCGATCCCGGTTTTACCGGGACCATCTTGCAGATCCCTACTATGAGCACATCCTTATTAGTCAATATATATGAGAACAGAAAAAGACACACATATACTATAGGTTAATGATTAACTGAAAAGATACATATAAAAAAAAAAGCGGAAGTGACACGTTCAACAGACGTTATAATATACTTTAATAAAAGAAGTGTTTTTTTATAATAATATTTTTGCAAAATCATATCTCATAAACTTCAATTCATTTTTCATTAATTAAGATAAAACAATTTTCTTTCCACTATGATTGAATAATTTATTAAGTTCACCATTCCTCTCTCTACTCTCAAAAAAAAAAACTGAAAAATCGATATGAATGCACGCGAACATAAAATGAGCATTTGATCTTTCATAAATGACATGATATTTTATAGACTACCCCTGATTCATTCTCAATGGCGTCCTCCATCGACTTGTTTTTCCTTAATTGTTTCCAAATTTGGTCCCTGTTTTTTTGCTCCTGTAAGACCTTTACGAATCTGTCTCCACTCAAGATGCATCTCCTGATTAAATTAGCACTTAATTTGTATATAGATGCATTAGTAATGTAGTATTATTGAGTAAGAAAGATAATTTTTATCATAACATCAAAAAAAAAAAAGTCTAAATATTTTTTCTTTTATAAGTAGAAGAAAGAAGAGAAAAATTATAGTTAATATCAAAAGGCAACCCATTATTTGACACAACTAGTCTTTATAGCTTCGCCACATTTAATAGCTAAATCCGTCTTAGTAATTTCTTGATTAGAGAACTGTTCGAGCAATTGTTCAATAAGTGAGTCTACATTGTTATTTTATGTTCTTCTCTTGTGTAATTATCGACTGTTAAATAAAGTGAGGACGAGTTCGGAATAGATAATCGCGATCGGTTTTTGATTGGGGACGAATTCAGAATCAAATTTTGCGGTCTCAATTAGGAATAATTAAAAAGGGAACAAATCAGGGGTAAAACTATATTATTCAGTTCTTCCCTTTCTTTAGTCAAAATTTTTGATGATTTCTCTAATAATCTGCTCGAAAAATATTGCTCCTTTAAGAAAAAAAGCAGCAAATATTCTTCGTTTTTTCTCTGTTAATACTTTTTTGATTGTATAATTGAGAATTCTCTGTGGTTCTTCATTCTATTTTAATGTTTAAATGTACGGCATGACAAAGTCCCTTTTTTTCAATAAAGATTTATTATTATTATTATATATAAGAATCATTTTATAATTAGAACAACATTTTTTTTTCGGGTTTTTCCAGACATTAAACTTTTCATTGATTTTCTCTACTTAAAAAGTAAGGATTTAAAAAAAGGCTCTATTATATTCTGCATTTTGACAAACTCTTTCAAACAAAAACTAACTAACTGCACAAAATGAAGGTCTACAAAGAATTTCGAATTAATAAAGGCGTTATATTTGAGGTTTGTTTGTTAAATATCTGATAAAAGTGTAATAGTATAGAAGTGAACATTTTATCATAGTCTTTCTAATACAACTTGAACATATTCTGAAAATGTCATTGCTATTTGAATTTACTTAGCACAAGATAGATTTTTGAAGGGAAACATTATCAACAATAATCTTGATCAAAGTATTATGTTAGAGAAAATTCAGATGAAAATTTTCATTTCTATTATTATTCTCTATCAGTACATTATGTTTCTTCTTCGAAAATATTATTATAAATCAATGAATATTTTTTATTTAATACCGATAAAACCTAATGAAATGTCAAAATAAAAATGAGTTGATTAATGTCAGATGTTTTCAATAATGAATAATGTATATAAATATAAGTGTTAATCGACCGATGTATGTTACATATATGTAAAATCTCTAAAAGAGTAATAATTATATAAATATAGTGTTTAAAATCTAAGAGAGTATTTTCATCTTATCGAAATATGTTTTTTCTTGCATAAAAAATAAATGATTAGAAGAAATTTATATCGGTGTAATGAACAGACATGCTATATCAGTTTTCTATGTAATAATAAGTTGGCGTGTATAACGCCTGGTATAGTATTAGTCTTACGCATCGTTAAATATTCTAACTCTTCAATTCTTTGAAAAGAAAAAAACGTAAAAATTGCAATCTATTTTATCTAAAAGATAGTCGATTTTCCTTTTATCATATTGTTCGATGTGAGAAGAAAAAGAAAAGAATATATAAAAGATTGAAGAGAAATCTGTTATTATAATAAACTTACATATGGTATCTGTTTGAAAAGCAAGTCTTCAAAATAAATTAGTTTCTTTCATATACTTTCTTTTTATTAATGTTCATAGTAAAATTATTATGCTATTCTTCTTTTTTGTTCTTCTTTCTCGTGTAGCCACTTTCTTGTTCTGGTTATCATACTTTGTTGACTTACTTTGCATCTGTTATTAAAATTTTTCACCACTTGAACTTGGAAAAGAGGATGAATGGATTATGTTCCTTTTCCTCTTCTCAAATAAATAAACGAGAAGA